CAGTTTGCTTTATTAGCAAGAAGGGGACCTTTCTCACAATTTGGTAATGTATCAGGGCTTCTTAGAATCTGTAGTCAATTTTTTAAGTAGATCCCTTCGGTTGAAACATTCTGTAAGGTGTTATTAGTCTTGTTCTGACCTTTTGTGTGCATTTTTAACAAATGTTACAAGGCAGCTGAAAGTTTTAAAGGTTAAAATTTGGCAGCAACAGGTGAGATGTGACAGTAATGCATTGAAGAATCCCCCTGAATCCAGTAGTAAGTGTGCTTTTAGTGTTACACTCTTTTCAGTATTGTTAGCTTTTTGGTAGTGTGGGATTTTTTTTTTAATTACTATTTTTGTGTGTGGGTTTTTTTGAATTTGAGGGGATGAGGGGTGTTCTTTCTGCAAAACACTTAAGAGGCCTTTAAAATGAGGGGGACTAACACTTGGGACTACGTAAACAGGTAAACAGGGAGAAGAGCAGCTGACGGCTCTTTAGGGGATTCCAAATGTGTCCCCTAATGGAGGGAAGATTTTGCCTCTGCTGGAGGCTGAAAGTGGCACTGTGGATAAGGTAGGCTTCATGTGCATGTTAAGTGCCATTTAACACAGTTTCTCAGGCTTTTGGTAGTGCCACCCTTGGATTTACCTTGAATTTATCTGTGTTCACCTAATCTCCCTGAGTCAATCAGCTTTTAGTTCAGCCAAGAAACAGCTAACTGCTTTTCGCCATGTTTTGCAAAACTTGTTAGCAGTTTTGAGAGATTCTTGCCTAAAAAAATCCCAACTTCTGAGTTACAAAGTTGGCTTTGATTATAGTCTTTGTTATTCATGTTCAAAAATTATTTGAAAGGGAGCTACATGCAGGAGAAAATGTAAAGTGGTGCAGTTGGGTAAGGAAGCTGTGGGAAGGGTGAAGTGAAAGGCAGTTTATTTGAGTGTGATAAGTAATCAAGGGAGATTATAAATACTGTTTACACCTTTTTCAAAAGCTGAAAATACTGCACGGGCTATTGTGAAAGGTGACCTGGCAGTGGAGTAGCAGTGGGTGACAATGGCAGAAGGTAGCAACAGTAGGCACTGGGGCTTCACACCAAATGTACCAAGAGCTCTTGGTGTGGTCTCTTCAGCTGGTATAAACAGAGTCCCTAGAGGCTTCACATCTCTAAAGAACAAGAGCTTCATCTACTAAACAGATGAACTCTACTGTCCCTGGGCAAAAAACAGTAGTGCACAATCTGAAAGGGAGATTAGTTTGCTGCCTCAAGTATGTGATGCTGTAAGAGGATTGGATTTGCATATCCAAGGAGCAGTGATTTCTTCTATAATTGATTACTTAGGATTTTCAACTTAATGTTTGTTGTGTTGCTCTAATTGCCCACACAATGGTATTTAGCTAAGACTATCTAATTTCATATGGGTTGCAATGGAAGTATTGATCGCTTCTACTGGGCCAAAATAATGAAATGCAGTTTTTGAGCAAAGGCTCAAGGTCTAATTATACTTTAAATGGCAATTCCTAGAAATTTAATCTCGTTCTTAACTACCAGGTATTCTTGGGTCTGAAACTTTAAATTTTCTGTCCTGTAAAAAATATATTTTATTCCTCATTGCTTATGCAAAGTTTGTTGACTGTTTCTCGTGATAAAGAACAGCTTTCTTCTACAACTAAGCAAGCTTCTCTTCAAGGAAATGTAGCGACATGTGACTGCTAGACCTTCAGCCAGACTTTACAGTAGATTTATTGCTGCGTACATGTTTGTTTAGAATCAGAGAATGGTTTGGGTTGAAAGGACCCTTTAAAGATCACCTAGTTCCAACCCCCCTTTGGGATGTCTTTCACTGGGTGAGGTTGCTCAAATCTCCATCCAGCCTGACCTTGAACACTTACAGGGATATAATGGAATTTCGGTAAAATGCGAACTTATCTCAGACTAATTTCTCTTTTCTTGTGCAATTTTTATAAACAGTTATGTGGAGCTGCATTAACATCATAAAGGCCTCTTAGATACATGGTGTTTCAATTTCACTGAATTTATCAGAAATCAGAAGGCATAATGTGAGCATCTGCCTTGTGATCTGAATTGGTACTCCTGTTCCTGTCTGCAGTTGCAGCTATGAACTCTGTTAAAATCAAAAGTGTTGATATGTTTCTGTGACCGCATTGCAGTCTCCAGGTCTGATTCAATACAACACTGAGCCAAGGCATGTCATATGGTTGTTTTGGTAACAACAGTTTCTAACTGGGGTAACACTGCTGAACAAACGGAACAAACCTCGACACCAGATGTCAGTATTGGATGAGCTTGTGACCTGGGCCTAGCAAATGAGTTAACTGGTTTGGGCCCATTTAATGAAAATGCTTTTTGAGAACTACCAAGATCTTTTCCCTGAAAAGTCATTTAAAAACCTTGAAAAAACGAGTGTTTCCAACTGGGAGTTAAAAACAGACTACCCTGAAGAAGTTTTGTTCCATCTTTGTAACCTCAGAGAGGCCAAAGTTAAGTTATAATTACGTGGTTAGCTTTGGGAAGATATTGCCTCTTGTAAATGTCTTGCCACCGCATATGAATGTCTTTATTGACAGTTTGTGACAGCTTCCTGAAGAGAACATCTCTGAAGGTATTTACCACTTCACATCCTCAAGTTTGTGGTAATCTGAGTCTCAACGGTGTGGCTCAGGGTAATTTCATTAATGTTCGCTTGGGAGAAATAAATGTTTTCTGAAATGTGTTCTGTATCAGTGCTTGTCTTGTTTTTTTTTTTAAGTGGGCTGTATTTGGAAACTAGCTGTTTGTATTATTATAATGAGGAGGATTTTTTGTATTATTGAAGTCCACATTAGTTTCTGGGTTCAAGTGGGTGTCTACCAGTGATCGTGATTTTCACCTCTTTGGCACAGAGCAGTCGGTGAGCCGCTCCAAGTTCAGTACAGAAGATGTATTGTTTTGACTTAATGTGTCTTGTGGGAATTTAAAAAACAAAACCAAAACCAACCAACCAAAAAATCCCTGGTGTTCCCTGTAGAGACTGTAGAGGCAGAAAACTGATCTACCCATCACTGCTATGTAAGAGGCTTTGCATTACCTCTTTAGTAACCTCTGGACCTGGTGCAGTCAGAATTCTCAAAATAACTGCTTCCCTCTGTCAAGAGAAGGAGGCCTGTTGCCCTGTTAGGGTGAGAGGCTGCCTTGTTGGGAGCCACGGTACTGAACACAAAGGGTGTAGGACGTGTGCTTAACGCTGCTTTGGCCTGGCGTTGACCAAGGATTCCAGCAAGCAGTGGTTTCGTACAAAAAAGCCGTGAGGACCTATGTATGTTGACACCCGGTGGCTGCTGAGGCTGTGAAGTGTTGGTTGGAGGTCAGCTTGCAGGTGGTCACTGCAGTCATCTGGGTGCCACTTCAAGAGCCATGGGTAGGTGATGATAAAGGTGTCCTTGGTCAGATCACTCCCTGAACTGTCGCTCTTTGATAGTTCGGTTTGACGACAATCTCGTTGCCCAATGCGAAGTCAGTACAGTGATTCAACATTCTTCAGCAGAAGGTCTTTCTGATACGAAGCCACCGAAGGATGGCGTTTTTCTCTGTGCCATCTCCCTCCGCGCGGTGCTGTCTGTTCTACACCGTGTACCGTTTCCTTGGCAATCTTCCTGCCTCTGTCTGTTCCTAAAGATTACTCTTGGGTTGTTTGCAAATGTACAGAAAATCAAAGTGGAGGCACTGTTTATTTCCTTAGCATTCATTGTTAGACATGTGAATCTGACTGATTACACAGAATGAACTACTCTGAGAAAACAGTAAGACAAGAAAAAAGAGCACCAGATTTTTCCTGTAAATGCATACAGTCCTATGTGCTTCTACATCATGTGCTCCAAATTAAAAGCTTTATTTAAGAGGGATCCTGAAATTAAACTACTGGTTTCATTTTTGCATGCTTTCAAAACAGGCCTTGTCTAAAATAAGACAAGGAGGAGTCTCTGTAGAGAGGTTATCCTGAACTTGGTTTTGAACTTGTGATGTGCGAAGTGGCTGACAAATGAGCTTGAGTATGAGAATGCTGTAGTTGGTACCTTCTTAATAATGAATGAAATCAGAATTCTGTTTTCAAACTTTGAACGTTATTACAAAACTGCTACCTCCTTTCTCCTTATTACTCATGATTTTTGGTCATTTGAAGTGTTTGCTCTGTAGGATTTAAATAAATTTCTACTGGTTATAAACCTACAAGAAGGGAGGAATATCTAGTGGTAAAATGAGGTTTTTAAACCAGTAAGTTTGGGTCTGCTGCTTCTGTTACTTTAAGTTTTGGTTTGATGTTGTAAAGAATGATCAGGAAATCTCACATATGGTATGTTTCAGAAAAGCTGCAACAAAGTTATTTTAATAAGAAAAATGAATGCATGAATTATTTAAAATAGTTGGTGCAACTGTTCCTGTGAACTAATCCAGGCACTTGGAAGGCAATTACACTGAGCTTTGACAACATTGCCAACCCGCTGCACAGTGCCTTATGCCAAAAGCTATTGTTGTTTTATTGACCACGTTCACCATTACATATGCATATGAAGAAACAGAGGCATTTTCATCGGGATTACCCTAATAGCATTAAGAGATTATTTTTTAAATTTCCTTGGAAGGAAATTCACTTAAATGAGATTACTTATTACTTGACTGGTTTCCTATCACGCTGCTATGTTTAGGTAAGTGGAGTCCATTAGAGTATAAAGTTTTTTAAAAAACTGATTTTATACATTAATGGTTTCAAATAAAAGAGAAGTACTATATTTGTGCACAGCTTCTTTTGAGAAAGTTAAGTCGATGTTCTGGTTAGGAGAGATAACACTTTTTGTCCCTCTTGGTGGCCCCCCTGGTGTCACCATTAGTTGCTAATTACTTGCAAACAAATAAACAATTAACTCCTCGTGCCTCTTGGTGGGAGAGTTTTCATTGACATGCTAAAACTTTCTAATAAAAGATTTTAATTAATGACGTTGCAAATCCAACCCCCCTGTCAACATAGCTATAAGGAGGACTTGTGGAGAGATGCAAGTTCAGTGTATGTGCTATGCTGGCTGAAGGTGAAAGCATGGCGAGTACATCGCTGTGTGCTGCCAATGCATCGGAGTCTCAGAATCTCCGACAAGTGTCAGGTTTTGTAGAAAATAAGACCACACAGTGCTCATTTTCCATTGAAAGTATTTTGGGATTGGAGCAGAAAAAGGACAGCATTCCGGCCGTGAAACCTCACCGACCATGGATGGATGCACGCACCAACTTGGGTAAGGCAGCAGTCTGTTTTGTAACCTCTCAAGCTTTTACTCCTTTAAAAACATATCTGTTTTCATGTTTCTACTGAAAACCAGTAATCTGAAGCTCTCTTCTGCTTGCTTTTTCTAGTTTTAGGTGATGATGGTAATCCTCATCTACAAATCCCTGTTGTTTGCTATGAAAATCCATTATTTCATGCTAACAGTAATCCAGTGCAAGAAGACAAAGTTTTGAAATGTGAAAAATATTTTTCAGTCACGGAAAGGCTAACTTTCAAACGAGAATTGAGCTGGTACAGGGGTAGAAGACCAAGAACTGCATTCACTAGAAACCAGGTAGGGATTTTAAGAGTGTTTAATAAGTGAGTAATAATGTAGTTTAGTAAAATGTTGGTAGAAGCATCTAACAGCTGACTAACTCAGTGTGATGTACCTCTGCAGAGAGGAATGTAATCAGGAACTAGTGCTAATGAACAGTAATGTTGCTAACTTCAGCAGACCTGTGTTTATGCATGGAATCAGAATTGTGCAGACACTGCTTGGAAGTCTCCTGTTGAACAAACTAAACTGGTTTTTGTATTTATTTTTTTTAATTACTCCTGTGAAGGTAGTAATAACTATTCAACAAGTGTGTTTTAATCTCCTCAGATTGAAGTCTTGGAAGATGTTTTTAAAATTAATTCCTACCCTGGCATTGATGTTAGAGAAGAGCTAGCTCGCAAATTAGATTTAGATGAAGACAGGATCCAGGTAATTAAAAACTTATTTAAAATTTTCTGTAATCCCATCTGTATGTACTCTTTGGTAATACAAAAAAATAGTCTGATAGCGGTAGCAATAATTTTAATAATCTCAATTTAAAGCCATGTACATTTACACGCATGGTATGCCTTCAATGATTTCTGAAATGGAAGCCATTGAATTCTTTCTGAAATCTTAAACTTTCTTCCAGAGTTTTGATGAGGTATTCATTACTCTATTTCCATATCTGCTCTGTTAGTCTCTAGTTATCATGTGCAGAACCTGATCATTTGCTTCCATGTTTTAAAATCATGTTTATATTCTGCTTGTCACCATATTTGAAAAACAAAATTGAAATTAATCATTCATACAGATTATTTCCATAGTAAGTATTTTGGGGGACTGTCACTAGAGCATACACATGTTAAACCAGTGTTTGAGCCTATGTCACCATCTGCTCAAAAGCAAAATCTACTCAGGGCTTTTGATTTCCAAGTAGTCTGATGTGATAAGCAGCATACCATAAACATTAGAATTTGGGCCTCACCTTGATGATTATTAAGCTTTGGATGCAAGTGATACATTGGGGTTGATTGAAAGTTTGCTGCTGCGATTAAGCAGCTGAAAAAATAACACCTTACAATTGATGTGTGAATTCCAGATACTCAGGATCTTTCAGGGTCTGATTCATCGTCACTGAAGATAATATTCGTTTTTATATTAACGACGGTGAAGCTGGCCTCAGTTTCCAATTAAGATTGGTGGTGTTATTGTCATCATCTGTGGCATTAAAATTATTGCAGGTTTCTATGTACCATCATCTGCAGATTTTAAATCTGTACTGAACTTCCAAACCACTGTCATACAAAATAATGTGAAGTTGTGTGAATATTTTAAGTTGCAAGGCTTATTCTGCTTACAGTGCTGTATTTCTGAAAAGCATGCCTCTTCTTTCAATTGTAGATCTGGTTCCAGAACCGTCGTGCAAAGCTGAAAAGATCACACCGCGAATCTCAGTTTCTAATGGTGAAAAACTCTTTCACCGCCAGCCTGCTAGAGTAGAACGAAGGGTGGTTTGCTGTTACCTGCTGCCATAGAACACAACGAATTATTGTGATTGTCATCACTTGTATTAAGTAATGATGGTATATTGATTATGATTTTATCTCCAGATTTGAAAGTTTATAATAATTTTCATTCAAATAAACTGTAAATACTTGAAGTAGTATTATAATCTACTTTTTGTGGAAGAAGTGAATTTTTCCTATATATTTTAGTAAGTATTTTCAGAAAAGTTCAGGTATCTTTGTGATTTATAAAAATCCAAACTCTAGGTTGCACAAGATTTTCAGCTAGTATGCATTACCGCCGTTTAACTAAAACTGGCTTAACAGTGCTTTGTGATTTTTTAAAAAATAAGTCTGTTTAAAGTCTGAAATACACAATATGCAAAATAGATTTTTGCAACCTGAGGCAGATTGTGTTACATTGGAGTTGAAGTAGTTTGTTTATAAGGAGTATGATAGTTTTCATAAAGAAACATCTTTTTTTAGAAAAAGGTATCTCAAGCGGAAGGGCTAGTATTCAACTGGCTCTTCAGTTGGACCAATTCTTTGGTTAAAAGAAGCTGAAAATTATGGGTTTTAATGTAATATTTTAGGGTATTTGTCTATTCAGTACTTTGACTTGGATATCTCATCTAGTGTAAGGGTTCCACTTACGTAAGTTGCCCTATTATATCTTAATGACAGAATGCTGACTTTTACAGGATCAAATGACTTGGGACCAGACCAGATATCCAGGTCATTGAATTCAACACCCTAAAATTTATGGCATTTTTATATCGTATCAATTATCCTTATATTTGATGTTCAGCCTTAAGTCAATATACATAAGGACAGCCTTATACAAAACCAAACAAAAAACCCCAACAACTCCTCATGTTCATGGTGTAGGAAAATGTTTAAGTGTGGGTTTACACTGCTCCTTGTTCAGCAGAGCTTTAAGCACTTGCTTGAAGTGCTGGTGCCCTAGAGAGATGTTTTAGGTGCGCCCAGGTGTATATACAAAAAATCATTTTCTGTTAGACTGATGCTTCAGCAGAAGCACTGACTTTAAATGCTGTTTCAATCTGTAAACCTGAAAGAACCGGTAAATCCCGAAGAATTTAGACCTAAAGCTGTGTTAATTGGGTTTTCCCATTTGGCTGACTTGGAAAATAAGTTTTATTTTAAACCAAAACTGCATTTACAGTTTTCAAAAACCTGAACTGAACAATTTTATCTGGTTTATCTGGTTTAAAAGGAAAAGAACATAGGGAAAAATTCTGAAAACTGAGGAGAAGAAATTATGTGAGTGCTTATATCTTTCAAATGCTTTTTATCTAATTCAGCCTATAGATCTCACACCAACTATCCCACATTGAAGGAATGCCTAGCCATTGGGCTGTGATGTTGGTTTCCAGGTTTCTTGTGGAAACAGCTTTGCTTTACAGAAAGTAGTTTGATATTCACAGGAGGAAGTGTTTGAGCTCATTCAGTCTGACACTCAGCTTCTGTGAAGTCAGTCAGGACACTGAGGTCATAGAAGTCAGCCTGTCATGGTTAATCTGGGCTAAATGTGAATAGCAAAAAATGGGGGAAAATATCCATGGATCCTTGGAGTGTTTTCGTAGTGCAAATACAGTTTGTGTTCTTCACTTGCACTTTCTTGTTTAATAATAATAAAAAGACAACAGATTTCTTTTTTCCCTGGCATTTGACTTTCAGTGCAGAATCGCCTCTAGAAAAGGTAAGTTTTGAAATTCTGAAGACTTGTCTGTACTGCTGCCAGGCAGTTTTTGATTCCTTTGTCTTCTAGCATGCTTTGCTTTTCCTTCAGTTTGTGTTCTTCCTCAGGATGTCTCTGTACATTTCAGTTGTTATAATGGGTGGTTTAATGTAGTTCTGATGAATGTTTGCAAAGTATGGCGCAATGCAGTTGGTTTAGGATTTTACGCGATAACATCTTACCTGTTGTACCATGAACAAACCAAGTATTGCTCTTCCTTTCCCGATGCTTGTATCCGTGATGTCTGCTCTCCCATAGAATGAAAGGTAAGTTTGAGAAAAGGAGTAATAGAAAAAAGCTTGATATTTTAGATGATGGGTTGAGATGTAAGAGTTTAAACAAAAAACATTCCTATATTTTCAGAAAAATATTTACTGAAAAGCTGCATTACTTCAGAACCAGAGTACTGGTATTTGCCTTTTTCTGTCTTTAGCTTAATGGGCTTGTTGCCTTCATTTTTATAGAATCCTTAAAATCCTGAGTTGTTTGACTTTGTTCCTGGAAATCCTTTTTTAGTGTGAAAATAAACTTTTATCTAATATTTAAATGTTAACACTTTATTATACTCAGGAAATAACATTCCTTACTGAACTTCTGTTGTATCCTGCATTCAAAAAATACTTAAGAGAACATCCACAAATAAAGGAGTCAAATCCATTAGGAAGAGTTTTTAGAGAAATTGGAATCTCAGTTCAGATACTTACCTGGTCTGGTAAAGGGAAAGACATTACTGGGAATGCATGAGTTCTGTGTTGTTTTTCTTCTCACCTCAAAATATATATTGCCCGTAGCTTAACCTTCCTGCGGGTAATTTGAGACTATTGTCTACTGCTGAAAACCTTGTTTCCAGCAGCAACAGATTAGACTAATCTGTACAGACTGATGCCTAAGGACCTTACCCTATTATCTGGCAAATACCTAACTACACCTAATGTCTCTTATAATGGAACTTGGCTCAAGTCTGACAAAGCAATTTAAGGGAAGGAGTAGAATAATAGCAGAATGATAATAGCACCAGCCCTGGTATCCAGCTCTGAATTAGCAAATGCTACCAGCAGGATGAGTGGGGTAAGACACTGAGTGTCACACACAGTGCTGGGGGCAAGAAGTTTAACAGCATAATTGCATTGTTTGCTTCATCTTCACTTATCTTATTCTTCCCAAAGTAGATGTATCAACAAGTTAAAGGAGAACATCTAACTTTACATTTATACCTGCTTTGACCAGCATGGGTGTAAATTGTGGCCATCGCTTTCTCAATTACACCTGATATTTTTCCATCTTAAAAAATATTAGTCTGGACTTCACAGGATTTTTCTAATCTTCTAGTCCTGACGATATGCAGCTTTCTGGGCTACCTTGGTAATACATGTGATATGCTATGTTACCTGTCTAGGCACAGCCAGTCCAAATAACGCTGTGGATGGGACTCTCAGAAAAGGCCACCGTGCATGTTGAAATTGGTCCTGTTCCAGTTTTAGCCTTGTAGTATTAGCATGGCAGAGTATTAGCATTGCAGTCTTGCTTTTTTGGATTGACTAGCAAGATAGAAAACTAGTATTTGTTGAGTTTAGGAGAGGCAATAAATTTAATTTTTCCTAATACATGTTTTGGCAGGATGCTGATTATTAGCAGTGAGTACGAACACGATCAGAAATGCTTAGGGATATACAGGATTTGGTGTAGCTGCGGTATAGTTACTGAGGACGTTCATACTGCCAGGTATGCTTTATATTTGATCATATGAACGTGGTATGGTGCAGGTATTCAAGTGATAAAACATGTAGGCCATTGCCTATGCCTTAATAATAATTTAATAATCCCAAAGAACAAAAGAACAGTGAAATAAGATTTTTCAAGTGTGTTTTCATCCATGTTGCAAATCAGTAGGTTTGCTAATGCCTTTAGCAAACAGTATCTGTTTGTTGATTCAAACAGGACTGAAGTAATGCTTTTCATGGCAATTTTCAAGCATGGCCCTCTGGCTTAGGCTGTTGTGAGGATCGGTATGTGGCAGCTGGAGAGCCCAATGAGTACAGTCTACCACTCTTTTCCTTAATGTTGTGGAACTTGGAGCATGCTGAACAAAAGTTAGCTGGTGGTGTGAGGTAGTCCCCTTGATTGAAAGTGATCTACGTCATATTAATTTTGTTATTAATTGCTATAAAGTTTGGGAAATTTGCAGTTTTTAAATGCGTATGTAAGCATGTATTTCGAACTCTCTCATTTTTATTTTGCCAGTCCATGTCATTTTACTGCTTCTGAGATGGTGAGTGCCTGACCACAACTTCTATATTCTGGAGCAATTTTTTGTCTATGTATAACCAAATTATGTTTTATTTATTAAATGAAAATGAATGTATCTTTTAATGATAGGTTTCACACTCTTTTAATATTTTAAATTGTATTGCATCAATCATATTAATCTTCTAATATATTTTGGGATTCAGTTTCCATGAACAATGCCATAGTAAGGAAGAAGATAGCAGATCAAATATTCTGCATTGAGGATTGTACACTAAGTATTATCTGCGTCCTAACCGGTTTGCTTTTTCATATTAAATCAGACTTGAAATTCATATATCTTGAAACAGTGCTACCAGTCTGTATTTGAGATGCCTTTAAAAATGCTGGGCTGCTTTTGCCCTCTTCTGGCCAGGTTTTATAATTGCAATCCTACGTGTTCCTAAATTAATTCCGAGTAAGATCTGCAGTCCTGAGTTAGGCTGTGGGTGGGCAGAATGCCAGCAGGAGAGTATCTGCTTTAATCGTTGTACAGACTCTGTGACCAGATTTCGTTGTAGTTGCATCCAAATGCTTGACGTTGGGCCTGATTTTCCGAAGTTCTGAACAGTCAATATTGGACTGATAGTGAGAATTGGTGGGTGCTTTACATTTTTGATAGAGTGAACATTTATTAATAATTAGGTATTTCCTTAAGAATTCAGTTTTGTGCAGCTAATCTTTTAAAGTTTTGCCTCTAAATTAATTCAGGCTGCTTTCATGAGCACATGTTTATAAGACTGCCCAACACCATCAGTTTATGGTAGCAGAATCTTTTTACACTCCAGACAGCATTTGACGAAGTGGCCAGTAATTCAAAACCACCACCACACCCCACCACACCCCCCCGAACTTAGAATGACTTCTGGGACGGTATCTGCTAATATAATTCTTCTGTGCTAACAAACACAGTGTTAGCAATGCAAAGGTTTCCCAGGCTGAAGCCCTTATTACCACCAGACTTTTCATTTATCATTGGTTTATCACGTCAGAAGGATAAGAAACGACTGTGCATTTCTTAAGAGTTTCTCTTGTGTTCCATCAGGGTAAAATACTAAAAACTGTGACAGTTATCCACTTTACCTTCTTGCCTGATTCAGGTAT